CTGATATATGACAATAGAACATTGTATAATCATATGACTGAAACTGCCCTCTTGGGCTGGTTGCTATCAGACACAGGAATTCATAAGATTAAGTAAACCCAGCAGCAGCACTTTGCAAGACAGAAGCAGCACATACAGGACTGGGGTGAAGCAGGTCCAGATGATACAAATGAGACGTGCCAATGAGTGACTGATGAGACCCTCAAATCACTCACCCACATTGTTGTACCTGCACTTTTTATTCAGCTTACACTTCCAGAGCTCAGGGTGCGGTTCTCTGTAAACAACTAATAAAATGAAGTGGATCCATTCATGGATGCGTCAACTTGGTGTATTAGCAGAGGCCCAAATGGATTACTGTTGCACTAGAGCCCTACTTAGGAGTGGGTCTGAAAGACAATGGTGAAGTGAAATCCTCCAGTGGACAGAGATGCATGCATCTGGTTGTCCACGTTGTGTGTCAACAGAAAATGGCCTGCAATCAGGATAAACATAAACTCCTTGGGAAGTGGCTTTAATAGCAAATGGCTTAGCTGATTAGTTCAATACTTGGATACAGATAGAGCTGAATATGGTGGATAAAAATATCTGAAGAAGAGGATGACTATGAAAATTGGGAAAAGGTGTGAAAATTTTGTATAGCAAATTAGTGTTCAACAGAGAGCATCTGTACTATAAAATCAATTAGATAAGTTGACTCAATCAGTAGATATCAACTAGCCTCTGTCCTTAGTCACCCTGGTACTTGCACAATGGACTCATGAACGGAGTAACCATGATGGCACATATTACTGTAAGTCCTGGGCCAACAGCATGAACTGTTTCTCACAAAGGCTGACCTAGTTACTGTTACCGTTGAAGTTTCAACTTGCCTTCCACAAAGACCAACGGTGTTTATCCCTCTCCCTGATAAGTTACCATCCTTTGAAGAGACAACCTAGTCAGTTGGTAAGAATTTTATTACATTGAATCCCTTTCACCCAAGAAGAATCTATGTTTTCTCATAACTGAAATCAAAACACACACCAGGTATCAGTTTACTTTTCCTTTCCACAGTGCCTCAGCCAGCACTGCCACAGAGGGGTCACAGGATTTCTGTTCTCCCAACATGATACCCTGTGTAATATCATCTCAGATCAAGTGACACAATTTGTCACAAGGGCGACGCAACAGTGGGATATGCCTATGGAACTCATTTGTCCTGTCGTATGGTACAGAATTTGGAACCTGCTGGCCTCTTGGATTGGAACAAATTTCTGAAGGTTCAGCTGAGGGATCAGCGCAGTAGTATAATCCATGCTCTGGGGTACCCTTAGGATCAGGCTGGAAAGATTAGGTTGGAGTTCTTATGAAACCGTATATTTATCTGGATCATTCTCCTGTCCTGGTTCTGCTTCTTCCACTTCCATACAGATTTCTCCTAAAAACACTCCAATAAACCACTGAATGAGTATCTTCCCCCTTAACCTGTGCTTCTAGGGAACCTGAGCTAAGATAATAAGGACTAGATGAGTATTTGTCATGGCACATAAGAGTGGAAGTGGGAAAGAAAGAAAACTCAAAGAAGAAAAGATGCAAAACTCCAAAACTAAAAATCCTTGATCTAACATTTTATATATAATTTAGAACATATATATATATATATATATATAAGATAAAATAGTAACAGATAAATGTACTGAGGACTTGCTTTTTGCCAGACAAAGCTCTAAGCACTTTACATATATTCATTCATCAAAGTATCACAACTCTACAATGTAGATTCTATGTTAGTCCTATTTTATATATATGTAGGAATTTGAAGCAGAAGGAGGTTCACACACCTACCCGAGGCATCCCAGTAAACAGGGAATCAGTATTCAGACCTGGGCAGTCTGGTCTGAGTTCTCACATTCCTAACTTTAATCAATTAATTCAGCAAACATATACTGAGTGCCAGATATATGCCAGATACTATTCTAAGTGCCTGGGTGTAGAGCAGAAACCAATAAGAAATCTTGCCTTCAGGGGGTTTACAGTCTACTGCAAAGGAGACAGAAAAGAAACAAGATATGTAAAAGACATAACTTGTTAGACAGAATAAACTATTATGGAGAAAATTAAGGCAGGGAAGGAGATAGAAAGACTAATAAGAGTTGAGGCTGCAGTTTGAGATAGGGTGGCCAGAGCAGGCCACACTGAGAAGATAATATGTGGATAAAGCCTGAAGCAAGTAAGGGAGTGACTTCTGTGGAGAGGAGAGCAAACTGTGTTCCAGGCAGGGAGAACAGCAAATGCAAAGGCCTCAGGGTAGGACTAGCCCTGGCACGGTTGATAAATAATGGTGTATTAGTCCATTCTCACACTGCTAATAAAGACATACCCAAGACTGGGTTATTTATAAAGGAAATAGGTTTAATTGACTCACAGTTCAGCATGACTGGGGAGACCTCAGGAAATTTATAATCATGGCAGAAGGGGAAGCAAACACATCCTTCTTCACATGGTGGCAGCAAGAAGTGCCAAGCAAAAGTGGAAAAAGCCTTTATAAAAGCCATCAGATCTCATGAGAACTCACTCACTATCAGGAGAACAGCATGGCGGAAACAGCCCCCATGACTCAATTACTTTCCACCGGGTCCCTCTCATGACATGTGGGGATTATGAGAACTACAATTCAAGACGAGATTTAGATGGGGACACAGCCAAACCACATCAAATGGGAAGATCAGTATGACTTGAGCAAAATGAATAGGAAGAGTCCAGAGACAGAACGGGAATAGATTGGGTACACCTTTGTGGATCATTTTAGGAATTTTGGTTTTTAGTCTGAATGAGGTAGGACATGACTGTGGTGTGTAATAATAGCATATATTTTAATGAGATCATTCTGGTTCTCACAATCAGAATAGATTGATAGGTAGGAAGGGCAGGAACGGGAAGAATTGTTACAGGATTTTTGCAATAATCCAACAGAGATGACTGAGTTTGGACCACAGCAGTAGAAGTAGAAACAGTCAGAAGTTTTACAATTGTGGAAATATTTTCATGGTAAAGTCAAAAGAATACTTTTATTCTATTGGATTTCATTTTTAGTATTCCAGCCTATCGGGGTTATAATTAGATCCTAATTCTGACTTCCCCCAGCGTTTTACACATTTTTTTCCTTTTAGAGGCAACTTGAACCAAGAACCGTTGGATAAACACCTAAAATTCTCATTACATATTGACTCTGATCTTAAAACAAACAGTTTTTATATTAAAATCCCGTACGCAAGAGTTGAACTAGCCTATCTCAACAATCACATTTTCCTCTTTCCATTTCTCACTCCTTTCTGACAGCCTTTTCCAAAATTGCTTGGCTGATTCCATTAGGAAGAAGCCAGTATTAACAATTCGTAGTCTTGGCCCCTGTCTATGCAACTTGACCATGCTGTGAAATTTGGTCATTATGATTGAGCTCAGCACTGTAAGTCCATAGGGGATGGAGAGGGCAGGAAGGAAATCTCTCTCCTCCTGGCTTTTTTTTTTTTTTTTTTTTAGCACAAGCAATCCCCTCCTTAGTGAACAATTTATTTCAATCCTAGTTAAAGACTATTTTAACCTAATTGTTACAGGAAGATAGTTATCCTAGAGTTAAACATAGAAGAGAACACATACAAATAAAAATTAGGAAATTTATTTTCAACCTTCCCAAATCTCCAATAAGTGAGCATGCAGTTTATTACACTTTTCAATATCAAGACAACTGGAAACGCAGTATGTGAAAGGACTTATATTTAGAAATGTTATATATGATTTCCATTAGAAAGCCCTTGATAATTTACGGCCAAAGGAAGATATGCATTCTCTTAATTTTCTAATCAAAGAATGATACCTATCAAAAGTACAAATTTAATCATTCTCATATTCCAAATGAAAATATTAATTATTCACTATTACTTGAAAAATAACAAATTATATGAGTCTAAAATTACCTAAGGTGCAGTTTGCCAAGGTTGTCAGGTTAAGATTCGCTGTGGCCTTCAATAACCAAATGTGGGGCTTAGAAAAGTTTCTGCTCTAATCTGCACAAACAGGCAAAATAAATAAAAGTAAAACTATCCCATAAAAGTTTAGACATTGTAGATAAGAAATGATATTACCACAATCAAATCACTAAGCAATATTTAGGACATTAGAAATCAGGATTAATTATCACTTAGAAAAAAAGTAAGGTAAAGTGAGCTTAATTAGAATATAAACATTCAAAAAACTCTAACTGTAATTTTTTTTGTTCAAAAGCTGACTCACAATTTATTGTCTTCAGAAACACTTTGGTACAAAACCAACAAATTTCTCCAAGTAACATAAAATAATTATGAGATAGGATGTTAGCTAACAGATTTTGTACAGAGTATGATCTATGGATGAAGTTTAAGTGTTACTATTAAATTCCTGTGTAACATTAACCAGATAGCCTGTCTCTTCATTTTGTTAGAGGAAAAATAATATTGCTCCTGTATACTTAATACATAATAAGATAAATTATCAAAATGTGAGAGCTCTTAAAGTAATTTTTATAGATGATGCAACTATAAGAGCATCATTCTAATGTACACTAATTAAGAATCACTTTGGTTTATTGTCAGCCAAATTTATTATATCTCATTACAATTTTATTGCCTTTTTCTTTACATCAAATATTATGATTAACTAGATAATTTTCCTGCAATCCTAAGAAACATTCATCTAAAGAATTGTGTGGTATACAGTACATAAAATACTAAGGCATCTTCTCAGAAATCCGGTGAAATTTCAGTCATGAACTTGTTGTTGGGTCATAGAAGAGGTTATGGAAAACTCCTATGACTCTCAATGGCTTTGGTTGTTGGAATTCAAACATATTTATTACAAAGTGTATTTTGTAAATACACTGTGAATGTGAAGTCAAACTCCCTTCCACCCTTGATGGGTAGGGATCCCAGTTCCAAGGGATTTGGATAAGAAACCTGGACATTTTAAATCACTCAGATATAATTATTTTTCTGTAAGTTAGTCTTGTTAGGAATGATGATAGCACTAAAAAAATGGCAAAACAAATTCTGGGCAAAAAAGAAAATATTTGGTGAGCTTTTATCCTATTTCAGACTGGTTTTACTCAGAAACTGAAATACAAAATTATTTCTCAATTACTTAGTTGTTGGTAGTGGAAATAAGAACCTGAAAAAAAATGTGCACGTTAAATAAATATGTCCTAAAGAACAACAAAACAATACATACAGATTTAGACACAACAGAATAGACTATACAAATTTTATATCTTAGGTTTCTCTAAGTTTTATCTGTTAAAAGTTTTAAGGTTGTTCTCTCCTTTGCAGCGATGAGTCAAGTTTCTTCTGGAGTCCATTGGGGAATATTTGTTTTTCAGCTAGAAAGCTAGCTTCTTTTTTCCCTCCAACATTTATGTTTGTTGCCTAAGTGGCTTCTGTCACATCTTGTTATTTTTGATGTTTTTCATTCTTGAATGTTTCTATTAATAAAAAAATAAGAAGCGTTTATCAGAAATAAGTATTGAAAATAACCAGAAAGGAAACTGCCCACTTTCAAATACTGTTGACACTCACATGCATGTACGGTTTTTGAGAAATGGTTGGAAGCAAAGCAGAAAGAGCCAACAAAATAAAACGAAAACAAAACAAACAAACAAACAGAAAAAGTAAGCTCTTCACTCTTCAGAAACAAGGTAGATACTTGTATGAAGTAGGAGATAATAGCTTAGATGCATAAAGTGTTTTTCCATGGACAAAATGCTTTTCTTTGCCTTTCAGTTCATCCTTATAACAACTCTATCATATGGGTAATGTAAGGTAGAAAACTGAGACCTCAGTGAAGTTGAGACCTCCCCAGCAATCACACAGCTAGTAAGCAGATGAAGCTGATTATGTCTAAAAATGTCTGTTTCCAGACTCAACAGTCTTTGGCTGTGGCACTGTGCCTACAGAATAGAATACAAGTATAGTGGAGTTCTAAGAACTACAGAGGAGGAAAAGGGTGCCTAATAATTGTTAAACTGAAGAAAAATCAACAGGCTTCCAGCATAAGTTGTACTATCTAAAGTTCCTAGTTAACATATACACAGACCTGGCATTTAACACAAAATCATGTCAGGCTCTCAAATAAAGCAAGCTACGCTATGAATAGGAATTGTGCTTGTCTTCCAGTAAGACACTTTATTCCTTTTTACTATGGCTTTATGGAGCATGATGGATGGGTGATTAAAAGAAGCCCTAAAAGTAAGCACTACAAGTGGTCAAGAGGAAGAGAAAACCAGAAATCTCTGCGACCCTCCCCTGCCTCTATTGTACTAGAGGTTAGTTAAGTGCTAGCTGCCCGGACCTGGAGAGAAAGTCTCTGGTCTTTGTTGGTCTTCCTTCTGAGCACTCAATAGCCTATAATTACCTCCCTCCCTGCCTCCCTCCCTCCTTTTCTCTTTCCTTCCTTCCTTCCTTCCTTCCTTGCTTCTTACTTTCCTTCCATTTGTTTTCCTTCCCTTCTTCCCCTCTCCCATTTTCCCTCACTTTCTTCTTTTTTTCTTCCTGCTTCCTCTCTTCTTTTCTTCTTTGAATTATTTTTCTGTCACACTACCTGTATAACCTAAAGTAATTTACCCAACCTTTATATGTCTCATTTTCTCATTTTTTTAAGGAGAAGGAGAAGGGGGATAATAATGCCCATTGAATGGAATAGTTGCAAAGATAGAATATGTCAATAAATGTAAAAAGACTAAAATTATCTCACCATCTCTTAGTGATTTTCATGATGTGTGTGAAACACAGAAACAAAATATGCAGCTTTGTGGCTCCTGAGGAGGTCACAGACTAATTGAGAAAGAAGAAAGGTAATGTCAAAGGAGAAGGAAGAGGAATTTCTCCACATACCATGTTAATTCCCCTAATGGTCTGAATTCACTTTCCTCTGTCAACATTCCCATCAGTACTAACTGGGACTGGGAGGTGGAGTGGTCAGTGGGTTGATGCAGAAGAGAACCTGGACTGCATGCTCTCCTAGATTTCCTTCCCTCTCCTCATGATCCACTGTCCTCAATGGCTGCCTTTACATTTTTAGATCTTTCTTATATGACAAACAGTAATAAAACCACACACTGTAGAATATACATTTTAGATATAAGAACACAAGATTTTTAGGCAGTACGCCCAGATTTAATTCCTACTTCTATCATTTACTATCTTTGTGACTTTATCTATAAAAAGGAATAACAGCAATATTTCTTCCTTGCAGTGCTGCTTTTCTGAGAGAGCAGGGGGATGGGATGAAGGAAAATGCAGTAAATGAATTGTAGTACAGAGAACTGGAATCTGAAGACCTGGGTCTGATTCCTGCGTCTACAACTTAACTGGCTGTGTGTCTTGAGGACTCTCTGAATTCCATTTCCTTATCAGTGAATACGTTTTCATTATAATAACTGAATCAGCCGGGCGCGGTGGCTCACGCCTGTAATCCCAGCACTTTGGGAGGCCAAGGCGGGTGGATCACCAGGTCAAGAGATCGAGACCATCCTGGTTAACACTGTGAAACCCCGTCTCTACTAAAAAAAAAAAAAATTAGCCGGGCGAGGTGGCGGGCGCCTGTAGTCCCAGCTACTCGGAGGCTGAGGCAGGAGAATGGCGTGAACCCGGGAGGCGGAGCTTGCAGTGAGCCGAGATCGCGCCACTGCACTCCAGCCTGGGCGACAGAGAGAGACTCTGTCTCAAAAAAAATAAAAAAAATTAAAAAATAACTGAATCATAGAGAATTGAGGAACTATCAAATGAAATAATGAGCTTGCAAGTGCTTTGTAAACTGTAAAGTGCTACAGAAATATTACTTGCCATTGCCATCTCAGAGTCACATAAAACTATTAAAAGCATGCAGTTTGAAAGTTCAGTCTGTCATCTTGACAGTTATTAGTCTAACTTTCCCTTGTCAATAAGCGGATTTAAGATAGTACACAGTTAAGCAGAAAAATGGGAGTTGAGGTAATTAAAATAATTAGATTATTTCCAAATAAAAGACTGGGATTTAAACAATCTTAGTTTTAGAAGGGACCTTAGAGGTCAGCTCACCCTGCCTGATCTAAACCCAATCTTTACCCAGTGCAGTGGTCCTCTAAATTACATCTATGCTCTGGTGGCAAGCTCTAGTTGACAGAGCAGGAGATTCCACATTGAATAGAAATTGTTTCTTGCATACTAACTTTCAAGAAATCTCAAATTGTGCAATAACTGTTTTTTTTTTTTTTTCTCTGACAATAATTTAGGTTTTAAAATCCAAAGCGATTTAAAGTCTTTATCTTTTTGGCATTCATCACCCATTCCTTTTGGAAATGTCACAAGTTCAACAAGGAGGTGATGATTCTCATGTTGAAATGAATATTCACTGAACCAGTTACTCAGTTGATCAGACTAACTGAGGTATTTGGAATCATGTAGACAAGTTTCCTTGTAGATCAAGTAAAGTATTTCATTCATAGAAGAGTAGACATAGAATGGAGTTTCGTTTTGCTTTTCTCTCTCAAAAATACAGGCTAAAGAAGTGTCCTTCAATGGTCAGAATTATATCTTTTTAAGAATAACCTACAAAATAAAGTTATAAGCATAAAATTACATGGGTAATTATTGGAATAAGAAGGTTAAAGTGAAAGAAAATTTCAATTTCCTCATACTTTGGAGGAATCAAGCTGAAGTATGTTTAAAAGTAATTTACATTCTCTTATAAACCTGATGTTTCCTAAAGTGTTAGTTTGAAGGAAAGCTATTCCCTTTTCACTTTTCTTTTGGGGAACTTTGAGTGCCAGTCCCCTGAAATTGCTCAATGTGATGGTGAACACTCAAACCTGCCATGAACCATCTTTCTCTTTTAGGATGCAACTTGATTGTGGGTTTTTTGGAGAATCTTCTGAAGAGTTTCAACTGGATTTTCATTCATGTTTTCATATTTGTACCCATAATTAACTCCCCTTTCCTTAGTATCTTTTGTAATCAAATTGTGGGCTGAGACTGAACAAACAATACAAGTTAATAGCTGCTTTATTTCCCCTCTCATTTGAAGTGATTGAGTATTGCATCTTGTTTCAGAGATAAGTCTTCTATTTGTACTCCTGGCAACTGTTTTTGAATACAGAAAATGTTTGATAGAATCCACACATAATCTGTCAAACACAAGATAGGAGTCTGGGGTTCATTTCTGTATTCAAGAAATACTTACTGTGAACCTCTTATGAGCCAGACACTTTCCTGTAACCTGAGGATAGAGCAAACTGATAAAAACCCCTGCCTTCGTAGTGACCTTATGTGGAGTAGGTGACCAATAACCAAAATAAAAAGGACACTGCAAAACATGTTAGAGAGCATAAAGGAGGCAGATAGTGCCAGACAGGAGGGTTATAGTTTTAAAATAAGGTGATCGCCAAGAAGGTAACCGTTGAATAAAGACCTAAAGGAAGCGAATCTGAAAGCCACATGGATCTCTGGGGAAAGATTATGCCATTTAGATAAAATAGTCTGTGACAGCCTGGAGGATGGAGCTCTCCTAGGGTTTTTGAGAAACAGCTATGAGGCCAACATATCCAGAGTAGTGAGAAAGGAGAAGTAGAGAGGCCACTGGAAGACATTGAGGAGAGAAGTTACACAATCTGACTTAAGATTATTATACTTACTCTGGCTGTTGTGTTGGGAATGGACACTATGGGCCACGTGCAGGAGCAAATAGACTAGTTAGAAAACAAGCGCAAGAATCCGGATGAGAGACAGTGGTTGATAGCAGCAGATAGTTTAGACTTGGTTGGTAGTATTAGCCATGGAAAAAAAAAAATGGGCGTATTCTAGATGTTGTTTGAAGATAAAGCCAACCAGGCTTTCTGGTAGAGTGGGTGTGATAAGTGAGAAGAAGTGAAGGTTGTTCACAATTCTTCTAGTGCATTATTTTTCAAAATGTGATCCATAGAACCCCTACAGCAGACTCACCTGAGATACACTGAAATACATCCCCGTGGTATACCTGAATCATACTTTTTCTCTAAAGGGCCAGACAGTAAATATCTGTTACCATTACTTGACCGTGCTGATAGAGCACTAATGCAGTCATACACAATGTTTAAATAAATGTAGATGTGTTCCAATAAAACTTTATTCATAGACATTAAAATTTGAATTTTATAAAATTTTTATATGTCAAAAATATTATTTTAAAATATTCTTTAACATTTGAAAATGAAAAATTAAACATTCCTGGCTCCCCAGCCATAAAAATCGGGCAATGGGACCCATTAATATTTTATCCATAGGCCATGATGCTTTTCCAACTCTGCTCTAGAGAATAGATCCCAAGAATATACATTTTTAGCATACACATTAAGCGATATTTTAAAACACAAGAAATTCCATGTAAGATAAGTATTTTTATTCTAATTTTAAAGATAAGAAAACAAAATCACAAGCAAATGTGACATTCTTTGAATTAGAGCTTAGTCTTGGGTCTGTCTCATTACAAAACTTGCACTCTCTACCATCCCCCAGCACCTCGTGGAATATTTTCCCAGGGGTTAATATTTCTGTTCAACCATAGATGGAGCACAGAGCAGAGTAAAAAGAAAACAAAAAGATTGCTTTGCCTAGAGAACTGTTTTTCCCTCTCAATATGGTACACGGTTTTGTTTTATAATTAGCATTCCGCTGATGAGATCTCCCATTGGTGAAGGCTTACGAGTAAGGTTTCCATGAAAAGCAAGCACTGCAGGAAATAAATTAATCTCTAGGGAAGAAGAGGGGCGAGGTTGTCAGTGCTCACACAACTTCCTAATAGGAAATGATATTTGAGAATTGTTCAAAGAATGAAATGGCTATGGGTTGTCCTTGCAGCACATTCTTAAACATTTAAATCGTCTGAGAAGAGGGAGATAGGTTGCTATAAAATGACGAGCAATCTTATAACATTTTTCTTTAGGGTGTCAGTATTTCCAAACTAAAATAGCCTTATCTAGAAATATAAAATAAATTCTACTAATATAATTATTTTGTTTATATTATTAAATATCTGCACTGATGTTAAATATAAAGATGAAGGGACAGATTTTTAAATCATTGGTTGAAAATCATACAATATTTTAAATAACAGATTTTCTAGACTTTGGAATAAAAGTAATTTTTGCACTTAGAACATTACTTAGAATAAACCTGAATTTGAGGTGTTTCTTCTTTAAAATTAAGAGACAACAATGTGTTTTATGATCTAAACTACCTACCTCTTGATCCCATATAATCAGCCTTTCAATTAAGGTCTTTAATATAGAACCCCCAACTTGTCTAATCCTCAAAATGGTCCCGATCGGAAACTACTTATGTTTTATTTTCCACGATACAAATAGGATCTGAAGTTTATGTTAAGCATTTATGTTAAACTAAAGCTACAGAATCATTCTTTATTCTCTAGCTTCGACCTTGGCCTAAGTGGAGAGCTTTCCCAGGGAGTTTGTTTTTTTCTGACCAGTTTAAATTTCCAAATTAGGTAAGATCTTAGATGTGGTGAGTTACCTGTATGTGAGTCTCAGAGATAAGACCATTTGAGTCCAACAATTTCAATGCTCTAACTCAGAGTAAGCCATAGGATCACAGGCTTTTAGAACTGATAGGGCATACAGATTATCTGGTATACCCACTATCTTGATGGAGAAAGTCAAGCTCAGAGAAATGAAATGGCTTCTGAAAGGCTAAGAATCCAGGTTGTGGTAGAACTGGGACTCAAACTTGGAGTGCCTGGGTTTCATTTTCTAGCCCAGGGTTTGTCTTACTACCTGACTAGTCTAATTTATGAAGGACAAACAGTAGCACAGATTTAGTCTAAAGTTGTAGGGAAAATTCAAAGACCACAGTCGAAGTTACAAAAGGAAGAAAATCACATTGGAAAATATGGATCAGGAGAGTGTAACATTTGCTTATTAGAAAACATTTATGTTTATGTAGGACAAAAACAAATAAGCATATTTAAAAGGTCATCCTTCCTGGCAATGATTTGAGTTTCTAGAGAGACATAAGGAGGAAAAAGGAAAATGGCCCCTTGTTTAGCCCGGAAGATAACCGGAAGCAATGGCAGCAATTAATGAGTGACCCACATAATAATCAGATCCTCCTCAGAACTGAATAATCATCCTCTTGTACCAAATGGCTGTGCCCTTGGCTGAAAAAAGCCACATTGCCCATAACCACAGACTCTCCTCAGGGACAGCTGCATCCAATGATTGTTTGATGCAGGGGGTATAAAAGTCTGTTCCCCACCCGCTAATTCAGGACAACCCTGAAGAACCATGCCAACTCCAGAGCTCCCTATGGGATCAGTTGAGGTCTTTGTTGTGACTATATCATGATTCAATTTTTCCCTCTGCCCAAATCTGCTTCTGGGACTCTGCCTCAAGTGCTGTTCCTGAGAGCACTTCCCAACCAACTTTCCACATGTAAATCAGCCCAGGGAACTGGATGCAACAAATAGTACAATGAAAACATTTCCACTTAACACACTAAAAATAGACCTTAAGCTGAATAAACATTGAAGCCCTATGCTCCTCCTCAGCTATTGCTGCTGAAGTAAGATGGGGAAAGAGTCCATTAGGGAGAATCAGGGAATCCATGTCTCTACACAATTGGAGTGTTTCTTTTACTGTGAGGAATCAGTCACATTATAAAAGAGGGTTTCTCATCCCCTCCAATGTTCATAGAATTCACAAAGGCCATAACATCTCCAAGAGCATACTGTTCTCAAAGGCAAAAAATGCAGACAGAAACTCAGAGACTAAAAGATCCATAACATGAAGTGGCCACAGCCAGCAATTTACAGAGCATATCGTAGGAAAACAAAGTTTTCCTTAGCAATCAATTTGTAAAGATTCAGTAGTTAATTATTATAGCTTGACTTCATTGTAGTTTACTATGTACTATACTTTTACCTATTTGATCTAATATAATCTTCAAAAAAAAAAAAAAAAGCCCATGGTATAGCACTACTGGTAACTCAATTTTACAAATAAAGGAATAGTCTTAAATAACAAATTGCTCATGGTACATAGCTACCTAATGGGGAAACCAAAATGTTAACCCAGAAATCTCAGTTCAGCCTCTAAAGGTCTGTGCTCATTCTATCACTTAATCATCCTACTTTCAGATAACATATTTTAGTAATTTATGGATAAAATAACATGTAGAATTAATAGTAATGTTCTTAAAATAAGGCATGGGCATCACCAAGCAACCAGAGTGAATCAAGGACCCACAGAACAAGGTTATCTAGAATCTGGTGAAATGTTTTCATCAATTTCTTAGTGAAGATGTCAGTGGCTGGCAGCACTGCTCCTAAATGAGGATTTACTGTACTCTTGGCTGGAATAGAGTCTTATTACACAATTCATGTTCAGTCATTCACAGTAAAATTTTAGTTGTTGACATTGAATACCAAGATAAATAATTTCCTTAGTACAATTATTAGATACATATTTGAAAAAGCTCCACCCCATTTAACTGAAAGAATTAGGTCTGGGTATCCCAAAAGAGCAACACTAGAAAAGCAAAGGAGCACCCCTATCTTAATTAGGCTTTTTTTTTTTTTAAGTCTGTGATATGCTACAAAGTCTCTGCAACTGTTACTCTCATCAAAGATAATTTAGGAAATGACTGACTTATGTCTAAGCATTAGAAAGAGGAGAAAGCTCAGAAAAGGCCTAATCTACCCATCCTGAACTCAAAGAAGGCTACTACATATTCCATGAGCTATCCATGTGAAGTATGGTAAATGTTGAGTATGGCTCCAATGAGTCTTTTTTTTTGGAAATGAAGAACATATACTATATGATATAAGATAAAAATAAAGTTTGAAAAAATATATTTTTGCTCTACTCTACTTTTGTATTTTTATATATAGAATTATCACACAATTATAATCCATAAGGAAGAAAGACTGTAATTATTGCATTTACAAATGGGAAAGCAAATAAAAATATTGCCAAGATGTTCATACTGGGTAATTTCTAAATAAATGGATGTTAAAATCAAATTTATCTAGGAAAGGAGATTCCATTTTACTCTCTTGAATGAAGTTAGGGAGTCCCACTTGCCTTGAACCACTGCTTTAATTCCAGGTCATTTTTGTCCCTAAAATTATCACTTACAAGTAATACGTTCAAAGTTGGTGCTTCTCTGGTCTGTAACATACGCTGTACTACTCACTCAGGGCACAAAGCTGGGACTACTGCTGTACCATCCCAGAAAGATTCACATACAAGAGAAGATTAGATAACGTTTCCCTCTGATTGAAACAAAAACTTTGATCTCAGGAATTGTGTTATCTGGTACTCTTTAAAATCCACAGTCTTAAAGAAAAAAAAAAAAACAGGTTCCAATGAATTAATAATGGCTTGAGACTCAATGCGCTGCAGCAATTTTCACTGCCGTGGTTGTTTCTTTTATAATCACACTTGATTAGTATTAGAAATGTGGAGGAATTGCAATATGCATGGTTTTCAAAGCCCTTTACAGAATTTCATTTTTCTCACTAGGAGAGAGTCAATGAAAAGGTAATAAGAAAAGCTCTCTGGGACGTTTTTATAGGAGTGTCAGAAGCCAGTAAGCTAACTACATGAAAGAACCCAGATCGTGCAGACAGCGTTTGGAGCAGAAACACTTCAGAGACTTTATATCTAGTATTTTGACTTTTACATGTCCTTGGAGAAGAAAGCGTGCTAGCTACAAAACCAAATAAGGATGAGAAAGGAGGAAACCGTATGCTTAAGAATAATTACAGTTTCAATTTTCATAGGAAATACATGTGAAGTTTCAAAGATAAAGTGTAATAGAAATTGAGGGGGTTTGGTGTGTCTAAAATATTGGCAAGAAACAAACTTCTTATTTCCCTTGCTAGCTCATCCCAAATTTCCGCCATATGGAAGTTAGTCTGGGTAGCTTAATTGAATGCTATCAACTCCTCCACAAGTCCATTTGCTTTTGTTTTGCACTCAGTGGAGATGAAAAATATCAGATCACAATCCCTATAAACTGAACCATCATAATTCAAGCTTGTGTTCAATGACTTATCTGACACTTCTTTAAATTTAAAACATCCCAATTATTTTAACCTCTTTTCAAGACAGTAATTCTTCTTGTTCATTGTTCTAGCAAAAATATCAAAATATTATTATCAAAAAAGTACAAGCAATCTTAAAATATTTCATTGGCCATGAAAGCCATAAAGGAGGTGAAAAATCTAATAATGGAAAACAATAAACATGACTATTATTATTGTGAGTGTTCAACATCATGCTTCACATAAAACTTCATTTCAATGTGATCTGCAGAGCAGGGTGATTACTTTGACTGAGTCATATATTCCAAACAAAATAACAGTAAGAATCTGTCTATTGCACCTTTGTCATGTGGACAAACTACCGTGGTTTAACTGACCTATAGTCACATCAGTACCTGCTACTGCCGTGGCCCCACGGTTGCTCCTCTCTTTCTCTTCATCCACCAAATCATTCTGACTACCAACTGGTACTTTCGAATCCAGGCCAGCTTGATTTGGGTGAAGTTTCTTGGTTATGTCTACGTGATGACGCTGAAATGACACAAGTCAGAGTGACTGATTTCACAAGTAAATTGTCAGTCCAAAATAAATGCTTCGCAGAAATATGAAAGATTTATCACATGGCAATTCATTTCTGTACGTCTGAAACAGAACATTTGACATGCCGAAGCAAGTTACAAATTATATGTTCATCAAGATATTTTGGAAATCAAGGTGTACAATTTTTGAAGCAATCTAAGTAACTAGAATAAGAAATAATTTTTGGCATAGAAAACCATCTTCAAAGACCATTTGTGTATATTACTTTCTTCTTGTGAAGCTTTTAAAATATTTTTCATTTAGAACATTTTTATTTAGTTTTTATTCTTATAGTTAACTAACCCAGCACTTCATTATATATTACATAATTTCATATTATATGATCAAAAGCAGATTTCATTTATGTATCATCATACTCTTTATATAAAACAAATCATAACATCTACTATAAATTAACCCACATTTTTTATCAGCATTATGCAAATTTGACAAAGCTCTTCTAGTCAATTTCAGAGTAATAATTCATCATAACAATGAATTATTAAGGCACGGCATCAATGGTCCCCATAACTCATCTCAAATGTAAGAGATGTCACAGCATTTGACATTATACTGACACACTGTATGCTTCAAAAGAATCATCAGATGGGAACAAAAAGTGAAAACTTCAATTGGAAATTAAACTTCCAGCACTTAATTAATTCATACCCAAGTCCAGATTGGAAGTTCATCAATTTGAATAAGATTACAGAATATGTGAAGATTCTTAGAGTCACTATTATCTTGTCAATTATGGCCATTCAGACTAGCCATGTTGGCTCACTAAAGGATAGTATAATGGACACTTTTCCTGTAAAGTTTCTCCTATAGACCGTATATTGCATGAAATTCATTGAAAGCTTGATTTTATAAAATCAGCTGCTCTTAAAGCTTGAGAAAGGCCAATAAGGAAATTAGGCTTTAGAATGATTAAGTAATTCACTTGAGTTAACAAAATGAACAGTGCTGAGCCTTATGATACAAATCCTGAACCTCGGACAGTGTTCTTCATGATTGATTTCTTGAGATTTTTAATGCAGTGGACTGGATGCCCAGGTAGCCCTCACTCTTCACTCCTCTCTATATCCATGTCCTTTCTACAGAATTTTGCAGTGCCCTCCTATTCTGACTTTTGGCCTATTAATGTGGCTTCTTCTGGCCCAACAGGATATTGACATAGAGGCTTGAAAGAGGCTTGCACAATTGTTTTTGCTCATTCCTTAACTTCCACTATGCCATGAGACTATGCCTAGACTAGCTGGACACAGATTGAACATGAGATGGAGAGTTAGGTCACCCCAGTTGTCCAAGCTGAAGCAAACAACAGCCAGGGGAGCCCCAGACATTTGGGTGAAACCAGTCTAGATCATCTGAGACCAGCTCAAGTCAGCTGAATTCCACAGCTTCATGAGCAAAATGAATGTGATTTTGGTCGTATGCCATTATGTTTTTCTGGTGGTTATGCAGCATTGTATGCTGATAGACAACTGGTACATTCAACCACCATCTATCTATAGTATCCCAGATAATGGATGTGGTGTGAGAATACAAACATAACATGACATTCTCTCAGACTCCAAATTATTAAAACACAATTTCTTACATTGTTTATGCAGATAATTAAAATAGAGTGTGGTAAGTCATTTGCAGATATTTCTCAAATTCCTTTTCTAATGGCAAAGGAAGGGATCCTAGTGATACTACAAAAGACAGCTCACAAGATCAGTTTGGATGTTGGTATTGACTAGAACTAAACCATCCCGCTTGTTTATTTTTAGCTCCTCCACAGCCCACAGAAACATAAGTCCATCACTGTAATTTTTAAAATTTATTGTCAGGCCTCTATTATCACGTAGTTTTTGGAAAGAAGCAGATTTCAGTATCCAACTACTTTCCTGATTCTGAATTAGACACCTTTGAAAAGGTTATTATTATTTCAAGTTATGACATGAGTATTAAATCATAGTTTCTCAGAACTGAGCAATGCAATAGATTAAAGAAGGAATAAGCTTCATGTTTGTTCATACCAAATTCAATTGAAAATATTAAAACATTGAGGGAAAGTTAAGAATTCATGCAAGTTATGTATATTCTAATATATTCCAGACTGAAAATAAAAGAAATGCTGAGCTTATTTACTCATAAAAGGATTTTTGTGAAAGCCTGAGAGAGAAAACAACCCCTTGATCAGAATAGGTTCTGAATTGTAAAGGTCCTGTGCCTCCTCGTGCAAACCTCTGGCAGACTGGACATTTTATAAACATATTAGTGTTTCAGTAATTAAGAGCCTCATTTTCCTGGAAACAGTTCCCACAGTGGAGTCTCTTCTTAAGTAAGCCCTGTCAGATTTTCCGACTTCTCTTTTACGTTACATATTATAGCCAAGCTGCTGTTCCCAGGTCCTAATGTAAAGGGAGATAGGTGTCTCTTAGGTTATTGACCCTGCCACACTCCCTCTTCCTTGTTTACTTAGCCTCTCCATCTAGTTCCCTGGGTCTGCACATTATACCCTGGCATCTCTTTTCTGCTACAATAAAATTCCTACAGTGTTTCGTTCTTAATTACCCAACTGCCCTCCACTAACCCTCAATTCTCTCTTCCCTCTCCCCTTTCCTATCTCTCAAATTCTTCCACCGTGCCTTGATAACTTTGCTTCATGGTTTGCAAACTTCACTACATATTCAACTTATTTTCTGAACATTGTCTCTACCTTTTTACCCTGACTAAAATCTCATTCTTCTTTGAAGACACCACTTCCTCTGTGAATGATACCGGCTGCTTATTCTTCCTCATCCCCGTTACCCTTAAGTGGAGGATCCCCTTCCCTGAGTGTTGTCCATTGCACCTTACCTCCTTGCAAATGTGCCTGCTGCTTTGATATTCCTGGCATCTAGCTATGTGCCATCTCTCTTCTTGTTGGTATCATCTATCTACTAATCTCTATGCATCAGCTTCATGTTTGTTCATACCAAATTCAATTGAAAATATTAAAACATTGAGGGAAAGTTAAGAATTCATGCAAGTTATGTATATTCTAATATATGTTATGCAGCATTGTATGCTGATAGACAACTGGTACATTCAACCACCATCTATCTATAGTATCCCAGATAATGGATGTGGTGTGAGAATACAAAC